AGTACATGATTTCTCCACTTACCATGTCTAATCGGCGTAGTGCAGTACGAGTACTGTACTCGTAAAGTAATCGAGTATCATACTCCATTCCTATCCTGGCTATAACCTGCGGCGGGTACCGCTAAGTATTGCTCTAGCTCTCAGCGCTGGCTTGGTCGAGTTCTCGCTCCTGCCTGCTACCAAAAACACGATCCCGAAAGCCAACTTGTGAAGCGGGAAGCACCAAGCGCCACAGTTCGTTGGGGGCGTACAAGATTCAACATCACCTGTATCATACGGTACCCATACTGTATGGTACGTATACTAGTACAGTACTATACGCAACGAGTTGTGCCTTTTTACATCCGTTGGACATGGGGACCTAGAACCCATGGGTTAATCCGTCTGATCCTTTTATGGTTATCTGTGGAACTTACAGTAAAACTCGAAATCTTTAGCCCCCGCTTACCGGTGCATGATACCCTAGAATGTCAAATAATTGAGCCGTGTACGAGTACTACCGGTATGTCGTTCGAGTTAACTTACCTCCTTTGGTAAGGTCTGATGTTTTTTATTTTGTTTTTTGTCCTCCAGTAGGGCTGAACGGCACACCTTTCGTTATGTTTTTCGCCCCTTTTCCAAAGAGGGAAATTTTGGACTACCTCGTACAGGGTCCAATTGCTTGAGATTCTGCTGTAAGGTACTTGTGCCACGTTGAGCATGGGCAGCTCAGTTCCTCTTCCCGTACCGAAGCCATCCATCATGCCTACCAGTACACAAAGCTTGTCTGCCCGGAACGGGAGCTTAGTGGCACGGTACATACATCTGTCATTTCGCTTGACTTTGTTGCACCACACGGGAACCAAAGAATCAAGACAACCTCTTTTCTCTCCCGAATTGCCGTGTGCTGCCTGAGTTCGCGATATTATGTAGCCCTTGTGGGGTTAGTTACACCCGGCTCGTTCTGTTGTATTGTACCGTATGAGTTCACGGAGTGGGAGATGCCACGCGATATTAGTTATAGCAAGTTCAGAGAAAAGGGGGTGAAGCATTTTTGAAAGGCGTTTTTTACTCGAGGTTGACGTGTGAGCACAACACTAGGCACTATCGTGGAGGGATATAATATATATATAGGGGCCTCCCACTCACCGTCAAATGGGCTCTACGATCGTTTGCAGCGTATTCAACAGAGCCATTCATTCATTTGATTCGACTGCAATTAGTTAGCATCGTCGCCATGCTCTCCCTCTTCGTTTTGGGCTTTTCAGCATTTGCTTTAGCAGCTCCAGAGCAACCAATTTACAGGCGGAACGAAGCTCCCTCTTCCAATGGGACCCTATATCTGGGCAATTGCTAATGGGGGCTCGAGGGATGCTACAACGAGCCTCCGACGGGCCGAATCCTTCAATATCTTACTTCTGACAAGTTGCTCACTGTGGAAAAGTGCTTTCACATATGTGCTGCTTTCGATTACGCTCTTGTCGAGTTTAGGAGTGAGTGCTGGTGCGGGAATGCAGTGAATCCTGCAGCGACCCCATTCGCCGGTGAAGGTACTGGCTGCAGACTTGCCTGTTCTGGTGATACGAATCAGCTCTGCGGTGGATAGTCTAAGTATGTAACTTTACCCAAGCATTCTGGTAGTTCCTAACGGTTTTTTTCTAGGGGCCCGTTATATAAGAGAAAGCCGGCGGGTAGTTGTTCTAGCACTAGCGAAACTACCACTCCAACGAATGCGTCTACTTGTGTTCCTGCCACGATCACTGTCACGGACCCCATTACTGTTGATAATCCCGTCACTGTTCCAACGACTCTGACCGTTACTAATACCGTCACTTCCGACACTACTGTCTACAATCACATCACGCTCACTAATGATATACCTACCACTGTCATTGAGACTGGTGCACCTTCAACTGTCACGCAAACCACTCAGGTCGACAAACCAGTTACTGTCACCGAGACCGCCGCTCCATCCACTGTCACCCAAACAACCCAGGTGGATAAGCCGGTCACGGTCACAGAGACCGCCGCACCCTCAACTGTCACCCAGACCACCCAAGTTGATAAACCTGTCACTGTGACTGAAACTGCTGCACCCTCTATCGTCACGCAGACAACCCAGGTTGATAAACCAATAACTGTTACGGAAACTGCTGCGCCGTCTACGGTCACTCAGACAACCCAAGTAGAGAAGCCCGTCACGGTCACCGAGACTTCTGGCCCACTCACGATCACCACAACCCAAGTATCACCAACAACCGTTATCGTGACAGAGAACCCAGACGCAGACAATCACCACAACCCTCAAATACCCATACCCGACAGCCGTGATAGTAACGAAGAGCTCGTTAGTCAGCACAACCACCACCACCATCCTTACAACAATCACGAACTGCGGCCCAACTTCCTCAACCACGACCAAGTACCCCAACCCAACCTGCACCCCCGGCCCAGAGATCCAAAACCCCTCTTGGGAGCAATCCGGCACTTGGGATTATGACTCCGACGGACAGTATTCTATCTCGGATAACTACTCCACCTCCACCTCCTTCGCTCACTCTGGCACACACGTCTACCGCGCGCGCATGAGCAAAGATGGGCACTGGACGGCGACAGGCCAATATGTCACCCTCTGCCTGTCGACAAAGTACACGTTGAAAGTGTGGACCAAGAGGCCTGTCCAGAGTAGTGAGTGTGTTGCGACGTTCTATGTTGATGGCGAGAGGGTTATTGTTAGCCCTGACACTCCCAACACCGGATGGGTCGCTGGTACTGGAAGCTTCTACTCTGGAGACGGTGGAAAGACGAGTGTTAAGGTTAAGGTTGTTTGTGAGGGGAATTGTGGAAATGGATATAATGAGATGTTTTATTGATGATGTTGCCATCACCCCTGATTGAGGGGTGGTTGCTAGAAGAGGGGGGGGATATTTTGAGAAGGGGTGCTCTTGGTGTTTTGTTATACGAGTATCAATGGATTGATAGTAATGTAATGGAGATTTAATTATAATATTATTATGTGATCAAGGCCCCCTGGACAGTTTGGGCTTGGGCTTTCCGGCTAGAGTATTCACCATAGGAGTTGCACTACGGATTGGTGCACTGAGTGATTCTCTATGACTGAATGTCAGGAGAGTGTTGGGACTATAGTACCCTATCGTAGTCACTATCGGGACTGTGCCCTCCCGAGGTATTTTCCGGCACATATCATACTAGAGCAATTCCATGTATGATGGAGTGGAAGCAGTCACAGACCAACGCCGACTCCGAGGCCAAATCGCCGATTTCAGTTTGGTGCTGTACAGTACCTGCTGAGAGCTGTCACCGAAACTAGAGGAAAACTTGCCAAGCCCCGTCAGGGCTCACAGACAAAAAATCAGATATCATATTCAAGGGACTTGTTATTGAACAATTGAACAGCTCCAAAAACTATCTAAAATAAATACTTTCCAGGATCTCCTCTATGTAACCCTTGGCACTTCCTGGAGACCCATTTTTGATATCTCGTTCCATCGAGTTGCTCAATCGCAATGGAGCGAAGCTAAATCCTTAGTATTATGATAGTTTATAAATTTCCAAACTGTAAAACCCCGCTCTCACCACTATCTGACATTACTCGAACTTCTCCTCCGGATGTTGGCCTCCCCGCTTACCTTAGTACATGGGACCCCGAGCTCGAAAGTGTTTTTGCTGGATTTTCTCCTAGCTCCAAGCCTTCGCCGCGGTCTCCAGAACATGTTCCACTCATGATAACTAAGTGAAAAAGGCTTCAGAAACCTCCGAAAGTTCAAAGTTAGACACCCCAAACTCTTCAGTAAGCAAATAACTTGAGGGGTAATCTACCCGTGTAGCCAGATTGATGTCGCTCTCCTCTCCTCTCTGTCAGTGTGCTCACCTCCTCTACAAAGATTTTGTACCGGGATATAGGGGAAATTGGGATGGTAAAATTGGCGGAGAACTAACAATAAATTATTATTCCCATAATCAAGCTCCTAGAGAGGAACCCGACAATTCGAAAAGTCCATCGTATAGCTTGTAGGGGGTTGGACAAATACTCCGACTACTTATCTGCTCCGAGGGCTGAGAATATTTGCCGAACAGTGACATTAGTAGAGTAAGTGATATAGTGACGAATATTATTATGCAAGACCGGTGAGTCTCAAAACGGCTGGATATCTGTAGCATACCATACCAACCACCTCTTAAAAGTAATGTCCCACTTTCTAAAACCCCACCAGAAAGTGCCTAAACATGGGTAATTAACTAGCCCATTTCTATATAATGAAATATTGTAAAGAAAAACAGGAAATTTATATAAATTTGTTTTCATAGAAATAGCAAATTTTTCATATTTGCATGAGCTGTACCTAGATTTATCTACACATAGCATGACTGAAAGCAAATCCCCACCAAAGTTAGCCAAATTTGTATGGGGCTTGGCATTCCATGATGGCCATTGTATGGGGATAGGTGCTGGCCTTATAGGATGAATAAAAGGATTCTCCCTGTAAATATCTACTCTTCATAATTTTAAATAATCTTAAATAATATTTTATTATTTTTTCTGCTAATGAATATACCGATTTTTGCTGGAAAACTGCCAGTGGGTATGGGACAATACTTTTGATATGGGAGTTTACCATGCAACCAGCCAAGACAGGGACACCACTGAATTCTGAGACACAACCCCGTTATTCACCCGAGAAACCCATGCTTGGCAGTTACACAACGAGCCGCTTTTTCTCTGCGAAAGTCACCTCGACGCTACGGAAGACCGGTAACCACTTTACTGCAAACCTACATACCGCGAGCCCTGTCGTGCTGAAGCACACCTATCCTAACCCTCGCGGTAAAAAAAGTTTCTAATGGCCCTAACAACTAAAAATCGCAAAGCTCTTGCGGATATAGGAAACGTTCCTAACGCGACAGGAGCAAATATCACAGACAAAAACAACGGTATCAAAGCCTCAGCCAGAAAGCGCAGGAGATCGGCAGCTGAAACTAAACTTGACGACAGAGTCTCTATGGATACATCCTTGGCCACGGTCAAGGAAGAGGAGGGTTCCAAGGAATACGCTATTACGCGAAGGAGTCTTAGACTCCAAACTAAGACGCTTGAGCTTGGGGAGGGCACCATAACATCCGTCATATCGACCGCAGCAGTGACACTCAGGGGGCCGAGGGGAGTGCGCGGGGGAGCCAGGGAGAAAAGGTTGGAGAGGACGGAGGAAAAGAAGAGCAAAAGGATTCCAGCGGGAGTCTCTGGACAAACGTGGCCGCCGCTTAGTGCGGAAAGGTTCGGAATAGTGCAAGAGGAGTTAGCGCACAATCCAGTACGTTTTCTTCCTTAGTGCTGTTATATAAATACAAGACTAACAAACAGCCCCAGTTCCAACTCATTGTTTCTACGATATTTCTAAACCGAACTCGCGGATGTATAATCTTTACCCTTGAAACCCTCTTTATCAAATACTAATGCACCGCAGCCGTCGCAAAACCATTCCTCTGGCGATGCCTGGAAACCTGGCCCACTCCCGAAAAGCTCTCCGAAGCATCCCTCCCAGAATTAACTGCTCTCCTCCAGCCCCTAGGCCTCCACAACATTCGCGCAGCGCGCCTAATTTCTCTCGCAAAAACCTGGATTACCCGCCCCCCAATTCCATTCCATGGCACGGTAAAGTACAACTACCCAGCCCGGGATACAATACCATTCCCTCTACCGGAGTACGACGGACCGAAATGGGGCGTTGAACAAAATTACCGATGGGAAATCGGACATTTGCCGGGCGTAGGCGCATATGCGTTGGATAGTTGGAGGATTTTCTGCTGCGACGAGTTCAGAGGGATTGAAGATAAGGATGAGTGGAGGCGGGTTGTGCCGAAGGATAAGGAGTTGAGGGCTTATTGTCGGTGGAGGTGGGCGAAGGAGGGGATTCGGTGGAAAGAGGAGACTGATGAGCTTGTGAAAGTTGAGGGGAGGGATTGCTTTAGGGAGGGGATTGATGACAGGTGAGGGTTCGGAGGCACTGTGTATGTATATTCTTTGTGTCTTGTCGGGCACCACACTTCTTACCAGATGTATTGACCTAGACCTAATATTGGCTTTTAAATGAGCTATGAGTGTTGGCAAACTCTTTAACGAGAATTACGATATTTTGAGCACAAAAACCTTACGGTGTAGGGCGATGCTGACGCATTACAGGCAGAACCTTCACAAGGCAATTTTAGTCCTATAACCCACTTGTCGCAGCGGGCCCGTGTACAACCCTGCAAATAGGTTCACACCCGTTCATCATGGTTTTATTAAGCCGGAGATACTTCTAACTTCCCATGGGCATAATGTCGAATTGAAGCAAGAAGGCCACGCGCAAGACCCACTACCCAAAGCATAGGCGTTAATCCCCTATGGTAGGAATCACATTTGGGTAATTTCTGGTCTGGCGTATGTGGTTTAATTCTGGAAATTTTCCCCTTTCGCGGGAATTCTCTCCAGGCTACCGACAAAGTGACGAGTTTGTATACTTGTAGCACATTAGGTAAATACGCTCGGAAGCCTTTACCATTTAACAGACCTTAATATTAATAGTTGAAAATGATACAATGCACCCCAACTCCATGCTATACCGCCTACATAGAAGCGGCCTCCCCAAGAGTGAATCATGTCCGAATGAGCGGAGCAGTGACCGGTGCATCCAGCTACTGTATGGTAAATCTTGACTTCGCCACTACACACCATCTTCCCGGCACGGTTCAACCCCGAGAAAGGTATTCGCACCCTCATCGCTCCTGGAAGCGCTGTTCCCTTGTTCAGAGAAGCGAGAATTTCCCTCTCCTCAAAGTGCACCCTTTTGCAACTCGTAAATAAAGCTGGTGCGATGGGTGTTGCGGTATGGATAGCTAGTTTCAGGTTTATATTCATTGCATATCACTCGTTTCGTTCCTAAGCTGAAAATTCTAAGGTCAGGAAATCGAAAATTTTTAAACAGAGTGGACTTGTAGATCCCAAATAGAAATTATATGGGGCAGGCAAAGAGCTTCTGGGTATCACAGTGCCCAACCACGCAACTTTTAGGTAGAAGTAAGTATCCACTCCTCCCGAGTGTCCGGGCTAATTGCATCACTCAAGAGATCTGGCGCGGTAGTGGCCAAGGAAATGGACGACTCACTGCAAACATTCTGTACAGACCTCCCCCACCCCAACACTACGAAGAGGGCTGCCGCTGGGAAACGTACGATTGAATGTTGCCTCCATGAATAGAGAAATCGTGGATCCAATCCATGGTCTAGGCATGCGACCAGTCCGAAAGTGTCGGAATCCTCCGTATCTATAGAAGCCGTGGCTGAGTGACTGGATATTCGTTAGGAACACGTTCCTTGTTTCCTGCTTCAGATATTGGTTGTGCCAAAAGCGAAATAGTACGAGTATGATATCCTTGGTACTGTATACTGCTACTGCAGTACCATCACCGTCACTAGGAGTTTCTACTTTTTCTCGATTGGAGCAATTTAGTATGATATGATAGCTTTATATTGTCCCTTATATCATATTGGCACTATTTTGGGGCATTGGGTGATTCCCCCGAGGGCGAAACCCAAAGACCCCCAAACCCCAGTTACCACCAGCGCAGGAGATGTGATAATATTATCATAATAATAATAATAATAATATGATACCTTCACCGTATGATACAACTGGAATCTAACGTGTCACAGGGAAACAACAGTGCCTACGCGCAACCCTCGGGCTAACCCTCACTGCCTAGTATTGGCGCCCATTAGGTATGATAATTATCATACCGGTATTATAGTCTTATTTATTTCATCCAGTGATTTTAGGCTCTCACCCTTGTCTAGTGTAAACCCTTTAGGGCCCATCTCTAATCTCGAAACATCCTAGGTTTAGGCTGTCCAAATGCCCTAATATCCTAGGGCGACTTCGGTGACCACAACCCCGTCCATATGTAGTCATTGAACCCTCCTCTTGTCTGGCCGCCATGACCCGATTACTGGGGGATTCGAATGAGTATGTCCACAGCCCTGGGCCATACCGTCAATCAAGATATCATACTGCACGATACTGCACCGGCCACAGTCAAGGGACTTAATCCTACCTTACTCGAGTATCGCATCCACAATTAATCACACCTATTTGTCCCAATCACCGTCGATTTTACTTTGCAGCTCGCTTAACTAGTGGCCTGTCATTGAAGTATTGGATTCTGCAGGAAGCTTACCGAAACTTTAACGGTGGGGCTAGTTGCGGATACTTTGCTTGTGGTGATATTTGAACTACTGGTATCTCGAAGGGTCGATCGATCTCACTTGGTTCCTGCAAACACTTTCCTGGGTTAGCAGTACTCGAGTCCTGTGCCTAAACCCAAGACATTAAAGTTACTCCAACCGGGAAACTGAGCGTGCCTTACAAGTATAGCTTCTGCGTCGGCGATCTCTCTAGCTCTATGATACCTTCTGGCTGAGACATAAATAGTAGTGATATTTAAGTGAATCAATAGTATGCAATGCGTAGTCAACTTAGGACGCTGGCACGTTCGTATGAAAAGAAATAGTATCGTGGCCTACTTGGGCCAGATGTGAGGCACTCTCTAATTTTTAACTATGAGAGAGACCATTTTCGAGGAATGGAAAATTGGTGGAGGGTGGTGGGCGGTTGGCAATTTGCTTGTGCGAGGCTATCTTCAAAATTCATTGACACCCCCCCCCACTTTACACCAAAAATAGCTAATTCTAAACAACCTCAACCCGTCCAAAAGCAATGGAGAATTAAGGAAATCAATTCTATTGTGTAGGAAATTAACTGGAATCTCTGCATAGAAATTGTGTCAATTTTTTCAATCCACCCTGAGGGCTAAGAGCTAAGGGGCTAGATTGGATGCTTTTGCAATGTATCTTTTGTATGGAAAACCCAGACCTTTTGTCCACAATTGTTCTTTCTTGTATTGAACCATGGCTATCAACCAACAGAGCTTGTCACTTACAAATAATAATATCCAGATGGTTCTAGGTGCTCTAGCAAATTCTAATTTTTTTTACAGGTGACAAAGTTGAGATTTTGCAAGTGAAAATGCCATTTTTGGTGTAAAGTAGGCGGGGTGTCAGTGAATTTTGCAGAGAGCCTCTTACATGAACCCGCCAAAGGTACGACTTCCCCTAGCCGGGTAACATCCGGATCTAGACCAATAATCCGAAGCCACACATGGATGACCTCACCTAAATTTCCGCGACGTCGCCCTAAAACACTGACCCGAGAAAGCACCTAACTGACACACAAAACTACCTAAAGGTTTAATCACACTGGCTCCTCATCGGCCGTTCCGCCACCTCCGCTCTTTACGGTTGCGCATTCGCTCCTCTCTTTCGCTTCTTACCTTCCTTTTATACCCCGGTATCCGAGTTCAGCTACAAAACCGCATCTATAAGCTTGTCACTGCTGCCTCAAGTCTTTATCGCCGAAGCTCCCCTGTTGGCCGCACGAGCCTTCTACACCAGTTCGTTAAGAGGGGCCGTTTTGCGCGGAAAGGGCAGGCTGTTGAGAACGATACTACGCCAAAAACGAGGTCAACTACGCGGCGTACCTCTGGACCAATGCAATCTCAAGAAGGAGCTGGAAATAGCTGGGGGAGCTATTATAGGTCAATCGCCGGACTGGCAGATTCCCCGGAGGAGGGCGGGCGGGAAAGAGGAGGGCGCCGGAAAAGAATTACCGACTTTCTGAAAACCGCAAACGAGTTGAGACAGAGCTACACATCTGGGTACACGAACAGGTCCGCGGAGCTGGAAAAGGAACCTATGGACGGTTCGGGGGACCAAGGGAATTGGCCCGATATAGAGGTTATGAAGGGCGGCGATGAAGAGCTAGTCTTATTCCCGTGTTACGCTAGAGAACGGCCGCCAGGCCCGCAGGGAAAACCGTCTTTTCAGATGAACTTAGGGAAAGAAGAGGATTGGTGGGGCGAAGAGCAACCTACCGAAAGGGATGATAATATTGTCGACGTCGATGTTCGTGGATGGCTTTTTGCTCCCCACTCTGTTCCATTAAGCAGAAAAAACCGCTATCTGATCTGGGTTGCCCGGCAGCTTTGCGGTCTTCCTGTGCAGGCTTCCCAGGCAGCTGGGCCAACACCCGCGGAAGCAGAGGCTACAAGTAAGGCTGCTGCACCCACAGAAGCTAAACATACAACCCGAACCATCAGCTCAAGCACTGAACTATTACAAGTATTAGATCTTCAACACACCAAATCAACACCTACCATCAGCGCAAACCTTGCCCTCTCAAGTACACAAGCTGAAGCTCAGCCAGATGCCAGTGCGGCCCATAATGCCCTGATATCCCGATTGGCTCCATTCATGCACCGCCCTATTCCTTCGGTGCCAATCACCCTCTTCTTCTATAATTCCAAAATGTCACTATCTCGTAGGCTCCGGACATCCGATGCCGGCCATTTCTTCACCCGGGTAGCACTTCCTTTCATGCCCACCCATATTAAAGTCCTTGCGTCAGAGACCCTCTCCGCCAATGAAAAAGTTGTGCTTCACCGCGCGGAAGGTTTTTCTGTTATCTCTGACATTGACGACACAGTAAAGCACTCCGCAATTTCGATGGGTGCTCGTGAAATGTTTCGTAATACGTTTACAGCTCCACTACCTAGTCTCACTATTCAAGGTGTCGCGGACTGGTATTCGAAGCTTGCAGAAGAACCCTATAGTGCTAATTTCCACTACATTTCCAATAGCCCTTGGCAGCTGTATCCTGTTCTCAAGGAGTTTTTCCAAGAAGCTGGCCTCCCGCCAGGAAGTATGCACCTGAAGCAATACTCGGGAATGTTACAAGGTATTTTCGAACCTGTCGCAGAACGCAAGAAAGTTACTGTGGAGAGAGTCATCCGAGACTTCCCGAACCGAAAGTGGGTGCTTGTTGGCGATTCAGGGGAGGCAGATTTAGAGGTCTATACAGAAGTTGTCCAGAAGTTCCCTGGAAAAGTGCTCGGTGTTTTCATTCGGGATGTCACGAGTACTGATGAAGGGAAAGGCTTCTTTGATGCCGATTATCCTGGAAGTACCAAATCAGAACCATTAATTGGGAGCAAAGGGTACGAAAGAAAGCCTCTTCTTCCCCCGCCGCCTCCACCAAGAAGTTCAACTATCTCGTCGGTACTTGAGGGTGATTTACTTGGGCTTGGTGGTCCACTCTCGACTCCTCGTTCCGAGTCTCAAGCCTTGATGAATAGCAACAGGACGCCTCCACCCCGCCCCCCAAAGCCCCGTGAGCTCCGAGGGGTACCAAAAACTTCCTCATCTTTCTCACCGTCTACTATACATACCGATGTTCTGCGGACACCACAAACCCCACCGCCACCGCTGCCTCGTCGAATAGCAGCCACTCTTGAGCATCAAACAAGGTCCCCCTCTCCTACCCAATCACAAGAGAGCCTCCTTAGCAAGAAAGAAGGGTTATGGAGAAGGCGATGGGAGCGGGCACAAGATATCTGCGAGGAGAACGGAGTGATCTTGAGACGGTGGAAAGTTGGAAGCGATGTTGAAGCGGAATGCAGGGCGGTAGTGGAAGAGGGTCTTTGGGGACGATAGCACCGGAAAATCCTTTTACTTTGTTTATCTCTTGTTTCCCTTTCTGTAATCCCTAGGCATTGAACCGTCTTTTCTTGGCTTGACCATTTCTTTGGGTAGCTCAGGATTCGGCTGGAATAGGTTAGAATGGGTTCTGACCTGAGAATGAACCAAATCGCGTATACTATTCAATTTTTGATCTTGGGCTGCTAGCGCGTGGGGGTGGGTTAGGGTTATTTCCAAAAGTACTCTTATGTGTTGCCGGTGACTTGGAGTTAAGGCTGGCGCGAGCGGGTATCGTAGCTTACTGATCGACTATAACGAGACCAGACATCGGATACCGGCAGCCGGTACTAGCACCGCATCTGTGGTGAACGCTGTTAATTAAAGAATCTCAATATATAGTCATTCCTGACTTTCCGATCATGTCAAAAAACTTTTCAATCGATACAGATAGTACTACTTGACTGCCCAATTTCGGGGTGCGAGAAGGTCAGGGATAAGGGGATTAAGAGAAAGGATAACCTTCCCGCTCCTGTATTGAATAAATATGGGATCAGACTGCCTCGTCAATCCCGTGGTGTCCCCCCTTTAAGCTTGATGTGGTCGAAATTCAGATGTTTCAGGGTGGTAAATTTTCAATACTGGTGGAATTTACGCTTACGCATTTTCTTTCTTTTTACTGTTTTTTATCCGCTTTGATTGCTGGTTGGTTAGCTTTGAGTGTTGGATTGAATGATAATTTTGATTTGTCTGTGGTCCAAATCGCACCGGGAATTTCTCCGGAAAACAACACAAGGCCTCCGATAAAAAAATGAATGAAGAAAGAGGTTCTGTCAACGTTCAGGAGCAAAAGATTTGCCTCCAGTCATCCATCTCGGGTTATAACTGTACCTCACTGGCACCATAGTAGTACTGCAAGGGACCGGAAGCCCGTGTAGCGGGCCACCAAAACTTCAAGAATACAAAATATCAGTAACACTTTAGCAGAACTCACGAAACTACTGAAAATGGGTACATATGAGGTGCGCAAATGCCCCCCTGAAGCATTCGTAGACACCCCGGGTGTGCAGTGCAGCAATGTCTTATATAAAATCGAGACATTTAGCTAGGGAGTTGAAAAAAGCATTTCCGCACATCTTTTGGATACAAATTTACGAGGGCAGCAACGCCACAGCACAAAGAATGCATAAGACTAATGGAAGGTGAATCGGCCGATAGAGATTAGGAATTTAAAGGTATCATAGTTTACTGAATCGCTGTATGATAGCGAAGGGGAAATACCGGTAGGACGAACTCGGTTGGAAATCATTAGATACAATTGGCACGCTCTAGTCATAGTCGCAATTTCTTTTTTCTGGCTAGAGTTTCGGCGATGTCATGGATGATGGGTCATTCGGGTATGTTGGTGTGAAAGGTTGAATGCGGGAGAATCAAATGGACTCCTGAGATAGTAGTGGAAAATGTGCAGGCACTGTGTCATTAGAAGGAGCGCTAAAAAGTGGAGTCTTTGCTAGACGTAGCTTTGCTTTGTTATCGCGGGAGTCCACCGGCGGGTAGGGACATTTATGTAGGAAAATGATGGTCTATGGAAGAATTTGGATGATTTCATCATGCTTTACACATACCCTTATATTTGCTGTCAATTTAAATAGACTATTATCAGAAACGAAGGTCCCAACCTACTCCAAAGTCGTGCCATCTGATCTATATCTAGTTAGATTTGGTGGGAAGGCGAATACTTCCGGTTGGACAAAGACTAGTGGGATTTGCGCCTATTTCCGTACCATCATATCCGTCAACCGAGTCTCTAGAGACTTAATCACGCAACCTAGTATCTACATGCCCGTCGACATCTGCCAATGGCACGGTAGATATTCAGGTGGTGTACATCGTCCGATTGGGAGATCTCACAGGTTATCACTCGGTTCTGCCGAATTGCGCAAGGCTTTCATTAGTGGCATGTATAGTGCTTGGCATTATCTCGGTCTTTCGGCTCCACCAGGCAAGGAAACCTGAATGATCGGATGTGGTTCGTTAGCGAGAGGCCCCACCACCGGTCTTAGGCCCCGGAGCAGACGTTTTTCCAATGGGGAAAAATTCGCTTAGTGCCCCGTGTTATTCATGGAGTCATAAGTTACACCCTACGGCTGCCCCCCCTTCGAACACTCTAACCGGCGAGAAATGATGAGTACTAGTATGTCCAAAATTTAATAAAAACCTTTTCTCTCTTTTCGTGTCAAAATCGAGATAAAATACTGTTTCCGACGAAGCAAAGGTTGGATCGCCACCGCGAAGGGAAGATCTCGGTAGATGGGTGGATTGTCCAATTCCAGGGTGCGAGAGGGTCGGCGATAAGGGGGTCAAGAGAAGAGACAACCTTCCCACTCGTGTATGGAATAAACACAGGGTCAAGCTTCCTCGCCAATCCCCCCCGCACTCGGCGGGGGTGTCTTGATCACAGGATGTCACTTGTGTTTATTTGTATTTAGCTTTCTTTTCATGCGGTTCAAATCGAGTTTGTTGGATAGTTGGAGTTAATTATGGAGGTTCCGGGAGTCTAACGTATAGTTTGGGGATGTGGGAGATCATCATGAGGATTCAGAGGTTTACGGAGGCGGTTCTCTAGACATGTCATTCCTTTGTTACCACCTGAGTGTGTGGAGGAATCGGAACTTGTGTGGCACAGAGAGAGAGATGTGGAGATCTCCGGAGGGATCAGGAAGTTTTGATTATACACATGTCTTTCCCGGTAATTTAGTTTGGGGAACGAAGTGAACGACCTTGCTTACCATACCTCCCACATCCATTCATACGCTAACTACTTTCCAAGTAAATACTCTTATCTACAGGCTACCGCTGCGCAATCAGTCTTCCACCTTTATCCACCGTTAACATTGAGCGGTATGTTTCTGGGGGGCTCCAGGTCCCATTTTAGTGGTATATGCGTTTCCATGTTTTTCTTTTAATGTTTTGCCTATATTTAGGATCAAAATGGTTACCCCGGCTCTTTAATTTGGAGATGTCGCTCTACTCGAGTACCAAACGGGTATTGGTAACAATAGTACTAGTAACTGTGACCCTGCTTAGGGATCTAAGAAAGGCCAACAAACTCACAATCTTTATAATGCGTGAGTAGAGATCCCAGCTATTATAGTCTCTCCTGTTCCTCTCCCATTTTGTTATTTCCCACACCTCTAAATATTCGCCTATATCATCATCCCAGTTCCGCCCACTGATCTTTCCTCTACCTCTGCTCCTATAGGTAGGCCAAGGCATCCCCCGTCTCCTAATATCACTTCTACACCAACAGGACCCCATTCGCCTTCTTGGTCAATGACATTGAATTTCGGGAGGACGGTTTCGTATGCCCCTTGGGTGGGTAGTTTTCACAACGCTTGCTTTGGTTAATGATGGCCAGAAGCATGCTCGAGCAAACCGATAGATCCTGCTCGAGTCTCGCCGATTATGATCGGTTTTTGTTGCTTTCGTATGTCGAAATGTTATGGAGGATTTTTTCACAAAACACAGTTACTCCGAGACCGGCGAGTCCGAAGCATTGGCTCTATTCCCTGGGCTTGGAGCGTCAGAAACCGTTTCTGCCAGTTACCCAGATGTTTGGTGAGGAAATCTTTGAAAAGTACGTTGCGAAGGGAAGAGTGTCGAAGATTCAATAATAGAGAGTCTGGTTGAGAATTTGTTATCAGGTGAGCGGGGTAGGCAGTCTCCATGCTAATGGGTGGTCCCACTTGATTGCCGAGACATATCATACATATCATACCTATATCCATCTTGGTAATCATGTGATATCACCTAGTTATATAAACACTCTCTACACCGTACACTCGATAACATATTCTCGACAACACACTCTGCTATTGATTCTTTAACATACTTTACTTCCCCTTCTCTTGCCTAAATGTCCTCACTCTTATAGTCTCCTACGACGTGCCGGACGTCATAGTTGGTGTCCATACGCTTCAAAATATCTCACAACATTTAAACCTCTTGCCCGTTTCCGAACGCGTCGTGGAAGGCTATCGCCTCCGGAGTGCAATTATAAGGATCCTGTCGGTTAACTAAAGGCAAACAGCTGACCCGCAATACGGAAGTGACCCGAACCGAGTCTATTCATACTCACACAGGAAGCGGCGGATCCTCGGGCACCTAGTCGGGTCTTCGGTATGAAGGAATAAAGACTATTGATGGTTGTGATGGTTGTCGAAACCAACTCAAGTTTTAAATTGGTTGAGAGTGAGGATTCTCCTCATGCTATTAGAATACCGTGATGGTGAACAAAAGTTGACCGTGGCTGGCTAGACTCTAGCATAATCGACTGTACTCGAACACCTATGATCTGCTCGATCATGATCTGGCCCATCACTACACAAGCACTTGAATTATCTGTTCACTTTTTGTGATTTGAAGACCTGGTAGCCATAAAAAAAAACTTAAATAAAAATAAACCACAACTTTTCCACAGCACGAACCCATCACTTATATATGAATTCTCATTGCGGAAAGATTATTCCCAAACCTGTGGACGTAGTGTAGGAGGGCTTGTGTACCCCATTTAAAAATCTTCACGGGGCACTACGGTGACTCACATCAGCACTTCACCCCATACCAAAGCGTGAAAATAAACCCGACTATCCCACCCTCCGTCTTTTCTTCCCCTGCCGAATGGGGGGTTCCGCTACCAACTCATAATAATGTGTGTTGCATCTTTCAAAGTGTGCCCTTGTCCGTGCCTACATTTTTAATTAGTTAGTTCCATGTCATATCTCCCTACGTGCTAGTTTATCAAGCATGCGGACAGCTTGGCACCATTGATGCTTGTATTGGGACAATTGTCTCACAATACTACATAAATGGACAAGCACGAGTACTTCGACTGGGTAGGAGGGGTCAAAACTTACATCTCCAAGATTTTGTACACATGCACCACAGATTGGGCAGTAGTATCTTCCTTCTCGCTGGTGATTTCTTCTGCCGTCGTTGTCTAGCCTTTCACCCGCTTCGCGGAGTTCCGCAGGTGTTAGGCTTGCCGCCCCGTCTTCGCCATTATTATCACCATCCTCTTCGGCCACCACCTCCTCTTCTCCGTCTGCGGCTTGATCCCTACCCAGGCCTCCATCAATGCTTGCGGCTTGACCCCGATCTTGGTTTGCTGCATCTTCTGTGGCCTGGCCTCTAGCC